AAAGACCACAATACACCTCAGAACAACTGGCTTATTTTGAGTTTCTACATTCTTCTACCATTTCTTATAATTTTCACCACTGTGATCATTAGGAGAAATGAAATGAACAAATCATGCAACAGAGAGAGCAAAGGATATAAGGGGTAAATATGACTTATATAATCAATGTATTAGGTTAAATTGTGCTGATCATTGACCAGTGTCATAAATTCATACATGTTATATAACATTAGTTACATTAATTCCTAATGAGAAATATTTTTGAATCTAATATAAGTGACATCTTTATAATTTTGTTTTCCAATAGTTTTTCAGTAGTACATTGGGGCAAATCGAAATTTTGACTGTTCTAGAACTTTTCCTCAAGAGTATTCCACACTGTACGAGGGACTTAATAAGTCAGAGAAGAATATGTCTGGTGCCTCATTTTATGTTTCCTTCTAGTTAAATTTATATTATGTCCAAGTGTTGATTTTCTTTAGGAAAAGTTTTTCCAATTTTAAAATTGTGTTAAAACTTTCGTTAATAGATTATTTGAATTTCATAATTCTATCTCTTTAATAGTCTTAAATGCTACAAAAATTTAATTTCAGTATTTCTTTGCGATTATATACTGTTTCCTATAAATTTATACATTCTATTCTTACTTTTGTCTTCCTACTCTTCTGACAACCAAACATTTAACTCACTTAAGGCAAGAAATCCTCATATAGGTACTTAAATGTCGCAAATAGTGGTTTCAGCTTCAAAGTGCTGTTTTCTTTGAAAGGTATTATTATTGGTCCATTTTATTAAGAGACTTTTACTAGCACACACATTATATCGGGAGTTCCCCAACCTACGGTGAGTTGTATAATTATTTCATTATATATTACAATGTAATAAAAACAGAAATAAAGTGCACAATAAATGCAATGTGCTTGAATCATCCCAAAACCATCCTCCCCACCAGTCTGTGGAAAAATTGTCTTCCATGAAAACAGTCCCTGGTGTGTAAAAGCTTGGGGACCGCTACAATACATGTCTATTGTTCAGGTAGTGATGGATCTTATTCACTGAAAGAGGTAGTGACTTAATTGAACTACTGTGGTTCTTTACAGATAAAAAGACAAGACAGGATTCAAAGGAATTCTTTATATGTGATAGCATTGAGGAGATCTCGGTGATATATCTGATCAATACATCTCCATAATCAAAAAATTTCTACTGCCTTTGTCTCAGTGAATATCCCCTTATAAACTCTTCTGTCAGGTCTGGGATATGTACGCTTAGTTCCTTCATTTTGGTTTACTCTACAAGTACCATATATTTGGAGCCATTGAAAAAAATATTTAAACTAGCTGGAACTAAAGCATGTCATCTTGTGGCAATATATTTATTTCCATCATGCATTACCTCCTCAATTGTATAAAGGACACTGAAGCTCAGAAAACTTTATATGTAGCTAGTATAAAATCGTGTGTCCAGTTCCCTGGCTTCATTAGCTGTTTCTTGGGGTTGGCAACATAAAGCTTAATCCTGACAGAGTCCTATTTCCTATCCTTGAGTTAGTCAATTTCCTCTTGATGTCTTATGTTACTGGTAAAAAAAAATTGTCTTTGGAGTATTGCCACCTTTTCCTTGAGTGAAGATTTAATGCAAGATAGGGTTGTATTAACTGTTTTTATCCTTTGATTATTTTTAAATTAATTTTTCAAAGAAACTTTGTTGTTGTTGTTTTTTTTTTTCCGAATGACCTCTGCAAACATGCTCTCCCAGTCTTGCTGTCCTTGACACAGTTGGTCTTTCATTTGAGTGAACTTGCATAAAATTAATAGACAAAATGTTGGATCTTCTTATAAAATATGGTAATTTTCACTTGTAATTCTGCACTACATAAAAATAGTCAATGAGATTAACAAAAGAACAAACTAAGAAAGTTTTATATTAAGTGAAACCCTTAGTGGCACTAGAAGGTAGAACACAGTGAACAATAAAAAAAAAATGATGAGAGCTCTAGCCAGGCTGGTGTTAAGCGATGATAGTAGGAAGAGCCTTATCCTTTTGGCTTCAAACACATCTTGAAGATGAGAGATGACCATTTAAAATTTGGTTGAAGACCAGTTACAACTCAAACCTAAGTCCAAGATTTCACAACAGGTGTGGGTCCAATTTTAATGTGTGTGAGTGTGTCTATGGGGAGAGGAGGTGGTAATTATATCTAATTTTTTTGTTAAACTTATATTTTTCTAGCTACTAGTGAGGCTGTAAATCTATTTTTATCCAAGCCATTCTGTGTTTCTATGTAGAGAAATAATTGTTGACATCTTTTGATCTCTTTTCCCATTTGTTTATCTTTTATCTTTTGTAGAAGTTATTTATGTATATGATTTACTAATATGTTTTGCCTGTACATCCTATCGATTCTTGATGAATTTATAGAATAATTAGAAAACTGATAGCTTTAAGTATTGTATATTTTTATCCTGGAATATGTATAACAGAAAGAAGTTCAAAAATGCATTAAATGATTTTGATCACATATGAGATAACAATGTTGATTTGCATCGATAGGTCGAATTTGTATGTGAATTCGATAAAACACACAAAATCGCACATATTACAGGTTTACACAGTTTAAAATCATATCCAAGTAAATATTTGCATATACACCAACAAATTAAGACATGGGATGTTACCAGTAACACCATTTGGTTCTGGGCTTTTCTTCATGGAAAGAGTTTTAATTACTATTTTAATGTCTTTATTTGTTGTAATCTATTCAGAATATCTATTTTTATTAAGCCATATTTGGAAGCTTATGTCTTCAAGAAACATGTCTATTTCATCAAAATTGTATAATTTGTTGCATAAAGTTGTTCATGGTATTTTCTTTTAATCATTTCAATTTCTATCATGTCAGCAATGAATTCTTATACTTTATTCCTGATTTTATTCATTTATGTTTTCTCTCTTTTTTCTTGTTCAGGCTAATTAAAGCTTTGCTAATTTTTTCTGATTTTTAAAAATTATTATGGGCACACAATAGTTGTATATCTTTATAAGGTGCATGTGATGTTTGATATAAGCATACAATGTGAATTAATCAAATCAAGATCCAACTTTTTGTTACAAGAACTTTTCTCTAGTGTTCAGTTTCTATTTCATTGACTGCAGGTTAATATTTCTTATCTACTTCCTTTTGCTTGTTTGGTGATTGGTTAGTTCTTCTTTTTTTAGTATTGTAAAGTCAATGCTTAGATGATTGTTTTGAGATCTTTTTTTTTCTAATGTAGGCATTTAACCTATAAATTTCCCTTTAGGCTTAGCTGCAACCTATCTGACCTATACGTTCTGGTATCATGTTTTCATTTCCATTCAGTATATTTTCTAGTTTTTCCTTGTTATCCTTTCCCTTTGACTCTTTGATTAATTAGAAATATGTTTTTTTGGGGGAGAAGATTTTTAATTGCTGCTCCAACTTCTGTGCTTGATATTGGTCTGTTCAGGAATTCTATTTCCTCCTGATTGAGCTTAGGAGGTTGTGTGTTTCCAAGAATTTTTTCATTTCCTCCACATTTTGTAGTTTCGGGCACATAGACTTGTATAGTAGTCAAAGATAATGTTTTGCGTTTCCGTGATGTCTGTTGTGACCTCTCCTTTTCCATTTTTGATTGAGTTTATTAAAGTCCTTTCCTTTCTAGTTCTTGTAAATCTAGCAAGAGGGCTATCAATTTTGTTTACCTTTTCTAAAAAGCAACTTTTGGTTTTATTGATCTTCTGTGTAGTTCTTTTGTTCTCAATTTCATTTAATTCTGCTCTGAGCTTGTTTATTTCTTTTCTTCTGCTAGGTTTAGAATTAATTTTCTCTTCCTTTTCTAGTTCCTCGAGACAGTTTATTAGTTTGTTGATTTGTGAGCTTTCTGTCTTTTGGATGTGAGCATTTAATGCTATTAGTTTTCCTCTCAGGAATCCCACAGATTTTGATAACATGTGTCCCTGTCATCATTTAGTTTGAAGAATCTTTTGATTTCCATCTGGATCTCCTCCTTGACCTAGTAGTCAGTCAGCAATAGATTGTTTAATTTCCATGACTTTGTGAAGTGGTGAGTGTTTCTGTTGGAATTGAACTCTAATTTTATACCACTATGGTCTGAGAAGATACATGGTACAATTTCTAAGTTTTTTAATTTGTTGAGGTCTGATTTGTGGCCTAGGATGTGATCGATTTTGGTGTAAGTTCCGTGACCTGATGAGAAGAATGTATCTCTGGCTTTATTTGGATGGAATGTTCTGTAGATGTCTGTTAGACCATTTGTTCTAGAACTCTGTTCAAGTCCATTATTTCTTTGCTTATTTTTTGTTTCAAGGATCTGTCCAGTTCAGTCAGTGGGATGTTGAAATTCCCAACTACTATGGTATTACTGTTTATCATGCTATTTAGATCAAAAAGGGTTTGCTTTATGTATCTGAGTGCCCCTGTGTTGGGTTCATAAATATTAAGAATTGTTAAATCTTCTTGTTGGATTTTTCCTTTCGCCATTGTATAGTGACCATCTTTGTCCTTCCTTACTTTTGTTATTTTAAAATTTATGTTGTCTGAAATCAAGATCACTACCCCTGCTCTCTTTTAGCTTCCATTTTCCTGGAAGTTTGTTTTCCAACCCTTGACCTTGAGTATGATAGCATCGTTGTAGGTTAGATGCATTTCCTGAAGACAGCAGATACTTGACTTATAATTTTTTAACCACTCAGCCAGTATGTGTCTCTTCAGAGGACAATTCAAGCCATTCACATTTATTGAGAGGATTGATATTTGGGGTAGATTTCTGTTCATATTGTTGGGTAAATTCTTATCGTTTTGTTTTACCTCTGGAGCCATTGTGGAATCCAGGGTCTAGACTTTAACTCCTGAGTGATTTTACTTCGCTGAGTGTCTATTGTGCTGTTCAATGTGTAATGTAGGTCTGAGTATTTCCTGCAGGGCAGGTCTGATCTTTGCAAATTCCATCAGTGATTGCTTGTCTGGGACAGTCTTTATTATACTTCAAAGAGACAAAAAGAGAAATACCATTTGATTCAGCAATCCCACTACTAGGCATCTATCCAAAGGAAAAAAAGACATTCTATAATAAAGACATCTGCTCTCGAATGTTTATAACAG